TCCCCAGCCTCTCCTGCTCCATCCCTTTCCTTGCTCTAGGGGCCTTGGGGCCTAGCCTTGCATCTTTCTCTTTTACCTGGATATCCCTCGCTCTGGATGTCCCTGATCTCTCCTGCTCCCTCCTTTTCCTGACTTTAGGGAACTTGGGGACTAACCTTACCTCCTACCACTTTTACTTGGATATCCTGCAGCTCTAGGGGGCTTAGTCATTAGAGAGATGAAAATCGAAACAATAATGAGATATCATCTCACCCCAGCAATAATAGCAAAGTTCAACAGGACAGAAAATAATAAATACTGTCGAGGTTGCAGAGAGATTGGAAGTCTCATATACTGCTGGTGGGATTGTAAAATGGTACAACCATTGTGGCAAATGGTATGGCATTTCCTTAAAAAGCTGAAAATAGAAGTACCACTTGACCCAGCAATTCCATTACTAGGAATGTATCCTAAAGAGGTGAGAGACAGGACACGAACAGACACATGCACACCTGTGTTCATTGCAGCATGATTTGCTATAGTGAAGAGATGGAAACATCCTAAATGCCCATCAACAGATGAATGGATAACCAAACTATGGTACACAGTGGAATAGTATGTGACTTTAAAGAACAATTAATGATATGTGAATCATCTCATAATGTGGGTGAGCCTGGAGAACATTCCTCCCACCTCACTGCTGTTGAGTCATTTTCTGACTCATAGTGACCCCTCCTTGGGTTTCCAAGGCAGTCTATCTCTATGGAAGTAGATTGCCCAGTCTTCCTTCTGATGGATTTGAACCATCAGCCTTCTGGTTAGCAGGCAAATGCCTTAGGCACTATGCCACCATGCTAAGTGAAATAAATCAAACTCAGGAGGACAGATATTGTATGAGCTCATTACTTTAAAAAGTCAAGGAAGGGTTTGCTTTAGGAAGGGAACTCACTTTGTAGGTTACTGGGGATGGGAGGGAAGGGGACAGGATAATTTCAGACTAGTTGTGGGGGGAGGGATGGTATGGAAAGAGTGTGTGACAAGCGTGATAACATTAGGGAAAGGGAGGACACCAAATTGTACACATAAGACATAGATAACAGAAGCTAATGCCAGTATATCCACAATACTGCATTACCATTAACACCAAACACCAGGTTACATATAAACACATAGACAACTGAGAAGTTCAGATGGGGGTCAGTGCACAGGAATATACTCTAGATCAATGATAGGTTCAGCTGAGGCTAATCTTGCACAGATACTAGTGATACAAAATACCTATAGTCATTACAGAAGCAACAGAAAACAGACATAGAGCAATCCCTCACAGACAGCCAGACACTATGGGAGAGACATCCACCTGATCTGCCGACTCAGGACCATAGTACTGGGTGACACCAGACTCAATTGGCACAACAAAATACCTAAAAATTTTGTCCCACAACCTACTTGGGTGAGTAGCAACTGGGGTCTTAAAAGTTTTTGAGCAGCCATCTAAGATGCAGCTAATTGTCTCCTCTCGTTGAAAGCAAAGACAAATGAAGAAAACCAAAGGCATTTGGAAACAATCACCCTTAGTATATGATGGACCTCAAGATCAGAAGAACCAGATGGTGCCTGGCTACCAATGCCAACCACTCGGGAAGTGATCAAAACCGAAGATCCTGGATAGAGTGGGAGGAAAAGTGTGGAAGAAAATCCAAAAATAAAATAATGACCAGGATTACTGGTCGGATGGAGACTGGTCGGATGGAGTCTGGTGGGACCCCTAAGACTATGGCCCTGGGATACACATAGGGCCTGGGATAAAACTTGCTCCCAAGGGCTGGCTCTCAGCCCAACAGTAAATAACACTTACATGCAGAACACTCAACCCAGGGCGATGTACCCACACACTCTTCGGAGATACATCCCTTGTACCAATCAGCCACGGTGCACCAGATGGGCAGAAGTCACATGGAGGAAAAGCTGGACAGACAGGAAGGCATAACTAAGAAGGACACAGGGAGTGGGGGTTACTGGGAAGGGAGAAGAGGAGATTGGGTTAGGGTGGGGGTGGTAATTGGGGATTGAAACCAAATGTACACGAACTGTTGAATGTAAAACAAATTCTGCTCTGTAAATTTGCACCTAAAGTGTGCATGTGCACACACACACACACACACAGAAAAAGATTCACATAGTTATATAGGTCCACACCAGATAGCAGTATGCATTAAAAGTGGGATACCATCTTCCCAATAAACCCCATAAGAGGAAAATGTAAGTGGGCCCTGTATGTTCCATACGTCATGAAAAGGTTAAAAGAAACAGACAATTAAGTCTCACTCCTGACATACTGTATCAAAAGCTCAGGATAATCCTAATTCAAGGCTGTAGTTTTCAAACATTTTGTTTGACAATTAGTTCTGTTTTTAGGCAGGTGAGCCTGATTTCTGTAAAATCTTCCAGGTGGCACAAATAGATAAAACAGTGAGGAGTGAAAAGGAGAAAGGGATCCAGAGCCCCATGCTCTCAATCCCCTAGTCCTTCTGCCCCAATCCCTGCTTCTCTAGCTCAGTGATGTCCAGTGTTAGAACAGTGGGTTGACCAGTCTCCTCCCCTCTATAGTGGGAGAAACTGGGAACAGTGAAGGTCAGAGCCTTATTAGAGATGCAGGAAGCCAAAAGGGTCAAGACTGGGGCTATAGGCTCCTAAGCATTAAAAGCATTAGCTCTTTATCCACTGGAAAAGTCAAGTTCTTACCACAGCACTGTTGACAGTAATGGTTTTCTGATCTGTGGGGCTATTTAAATATGTTTGAAGTACAAATGGATAGCTCAGTTTTCTCTTTTGTTTCTTAAGATTTGAGAAAAGACCAGTGATTTAAAACGTGAGATCCCATAAAAATGTGAATACAACCTAAAGTAAGATTTTAAAATTTCTTGAAGTAGGATGAAAATGCAGAGCACAAAATGACAGTATTTAGGAGTTAAGTTAAAGTTTAATATGATAGATTAATTATGATGTGAACTTTGTAAAACATGATGTAAAGTATTACCGTTGACAATCAAAATAACAATTTCAAATGGCAAATACCATAGTACAACATAATTAAGATGATTTCATTTAAATTTGGTGCCCATTTCAATCACTTCCTTTATTACAAGACAAAGCTCTTATTGTCCCTTCCATTGTTAATTTCTGCCCTTGCAGTCTATCCATTAGGAATGCGTTTGATTATGAGAAAAAATCAGAGAAGTAGAGGCATAAACAAATAAGGGGCTTCTTATTTTTTTCCGCTGCCAAGAAAATGTGGAGGCGTACAGCCCAGGAGCATGCCATTGGAGGCCTTGTTCTTTGTATCTGGCTGCCATCTTTAGCATGCAGCCTTTATCCTCATGGGCACAAGATGGCTGCTGTAGCTCCTCATGAAATGTTGCCTTTAAATTCGGGCCAAGACTCTTGCCCAGGAACTTTTTTGCCTACCTGTGATTGTCCAGAATAGCATCACCCCTGGTTATAAGAGAGTGTGTGGAGTCAAAGAGACAAATGGCAACCCTGAGCAAAATCCAGGATTTGTTAGTAAGGACGAGAAGGGATGGCAGCAGGTAGGCAACTAGGGTATCTTCCTCACTTTGATAGCAGGTCCTTCATGTTGTTTTTAGGTGCTGTGGAGTAGATGTTTGACTCATGTGACCAAGTACAACTGCTCTTAGGGTTTTCTTGGCTGTAGGTGTTATGAGAACAGATCACCAGCTGAGCTCTTAAAGGTTGCACCACCAGGGATCCTCATTCTACACATACCTCACCTTATTCCCCACCAAATGAAAACACAAACAATACCAACATATCACCTACGCTGTCTCAGACATCAGCCTAAAGGGGGACTGTTTACTTAGTTGAAAGGTCTTGGGCCCTAAAGCTGGCATTGCTGCCTTGGTGGTTGACATGGAAGACAACAGAAGGGTTTTCCATAGTTTCTTGTCTGAGTCTGTGGGCTTGGCTCAACCCACGAGGGAATGTCCCAGCACTGTTAACAACCTCTCCTGTGTCAAAGATTGGGAGTCTGGAAAAATATGCTTAAAATCCATCCCATTTCTATTTTCTTTGACTTGTTTGGAGAAACAGACAATTTGCTACATAAAGAAAAATGACCACTACCGTTGATCATCTCTGTCACATAAGAAGAAAAAACAAAATGATAAATGCCAGAAAGTTTCCAGAAATTGATAAAGCACATAGGGTGGTGCCTGACAGCTTGTGAATATTGTAGCCAGTGTGGTTATACCCACAAAAAATTATCCTAGGCAAGAACTTGTGTTTCCTGTGCCCAGATCTAAACTTTTAGAATTTAAACATGGGCTGTTCTTTATAGTGGTTTCCTTAACTCATATGAGAAAAATATGAGTGTCTTAATTTCCTTGCCTTTCGGTGTATGGTAATGTGTAATTGTAACCAAGCTGATAAATGACCTATATTATTTACATAGATGTAAATACTACCGCACAGTTCCTGTATTAAGAACTTAATGTAGTGACCAATTAGTAATGGTGAATAGGTACATACTTCATGTCTTTGCTGTCACCTGTTAGAATTGCCCACTGGATTCCTTCCCTTTCCCTACCCTTAGGCCATATTTCTATGAAGCTTGTATGTACATTATTCAACACTTTAATTACTTTTTAAGAAAACCCTAGGCCATGTCTTCTAAGATACATGAAGACGGTGGTGATGAGTTTTATCTGCATTATGCACATCCATTAACCAAACCCGTTCCCATCAAGCAGATTCTGACTCATAATGACGCTAGAGGACAGAGTACAACTGCCCCCTCGGTTTGCCAAGGCTGTCAGTCTTTACAGAAGCAGATTGCCACATCTTTCTCCTGTGGAGCAGCTGGTGGGTTCAAATTGCCAACCTTTTGGTTAGCCACCAAGCACTTTAACCACTGTGCCACCAGGGATTTTCACATTACACACAGATTTTATAAATTCCTTGGGGTTAGACTAAGTTCATATTTCTTTTTCACTCTATAACAGCCATCAGAGGGGTGAGTGTGAAATCGACGCTCAATATATGTGGTGATTGATGAGCTCTGACTTTGTGGTTTACTGTCATAACAGGAAATGCTGTCGTAAAATTAGCCTTGTGTTTGGCACTGTTGGGGTGGTAAAGGTCTCCAACAACAGATTTCTCCCCAAACATTTCTAAAGGTCGCTGTAAATTAGAATGAAGCACAAATGGCCAGCTGCCACATTTAAGGAAAAGATGGCCTAGACATAATAAAGTTTAGTGTTGGAACATTTTCACATGCCAAATGCAGTCAGCACCTGGGGGAATTAAGGATATGACAGGTTCTAAGTAAAAAAAAAAAAAGTAAATAAACAGGATTGTTAAATATGACTGCCAGGTGGGCACTGACTCCTGAGTGGTTTGTACCACTTCTGTCCTTATGTAAACCATAAAACAGGTTGGCTGCTGACCAGAACCTGCAGCTGTGAGGAGAAGGTGTCTTTGCATGAACACCAGAAAACCAAGAGTGATGACAGGCTTAAAATCTTTTATAGTTTTGTACACGAAGGAGGGAAAACAAAATCATTGATGTCCTAGGCCTGGGGCTAAAAGTGCTGACTTAGACCCACCTTGGTGGAGTTACAAAAATGGGATGCAGTGCCAAGTAATGTCTAAGTCTGTTCTGAAAATAGCAAGTAAACTTTTAAAGTGAAATGTTCACATACTGTCTCCTCTCCTCCCCATAGTGTCTGAACACTTCCTCTCGTCCTATGATATTGACTGCAGTTTGGAAACCAAGAAGGAGGTGGTCCAGTGCATGGGCTCCTTTCAGGATGGAGTGGCTGAGAAGTGTGTGGATTATTTCCAGCGATTCCGACGTTCTACCCATGTGACGCCCAAATCATACCTGTCCTTTATCCAGAGCTATAAGTTCATCTATGGAGAAAAGCATGCAGAAGTACAAACCCTGGCCAACAGGTGAGTGTGAAGTTCAAGTATGAAAATATTTTAAAGTGGTGGTGCTCAACCAGGAACAGTTTTGCACCCAGGGGACATTTGTAAATGACTGACGACATTTTTCTTCTTTACAATTGCTGAGGGCATAATGAATAAGGCATTCGGCTGCTAACCAAAAGGTCAGCAGTTCAAACCCACCAGCTGCTCCATGGAAGGAAGACGGAACAATCTACTTCTGTAAAGATTTATAGCCTCAGAAACCCAGCGAATTGGCTCGAAGGCACTGAGTTTGGTTTTTTGGTTTGGTGCTACTGACAGGGAGCCCTGGTGGCACAGTGGTTAAAGCAGGTTGCCTGCTAACCAAAAACTAGCGCTTCAAACCCATCAGATGCTGTGTGGGAGAAAGATGTGGCAGTGCCTTCTGTAAAGATTTATAGCCTTGGAAATGTTATGGGCAGTTCTACTCTGTGCTGTTGTCATTGTTAGGTGCCGTCGAGTCATTTCCAACTCATAGTGACCCCGTGCACAGCAGAATGAAACACCGCCTGGTCCTACGCTGGCTCCATGATCCTTGCTATACTTGAGCCCATTGTCGCAGCCACTGCGTCAGTCCATCTTGTTGAAGGCCTTCCCCTCTTTCATCTATCCTCCACCTTACCAAGCGTGACATCCTTCTCTAGGGAATGGTCCCTTCTGACAACACGACCAAAGTAGGTGAGACGAAGTCTGGCCATTCTCACTTCCAAGGAGCATTTTGGCTGCACTTCTTTTTCCAGGACAGATCTGCTAGTTCTTTTAGCAGTCCAAAGTACTTTGAGCATTCTTCTCCAGCTCCACAACTCAAAAGCATCAACTCTTCTTTGGTCTTCCTTATTCATTGTCCAGCTCTCATATGCATACAAGACAATTGAAAATACCATGGCTTGTGTCAGGTGCACCTTAGTCCTCAAGGAGACATCTTTGCTCTTCAGCACTTGAAAGAGGTCCTTTACAGCCAACCTGCCCAGTGCTGTATGTTGTCTAATGTTCTGACTGCTGCTTCCATTGGCATCGATTGTAGAACAAGCAATGTGAATTCTCTGTGCTATCGGGTTGCTATGAGTCAAAATTGACTTGACGACAGTGGGTTTGGTTTGGGATTTGTTGCTACTGACTTCAGAGAACAGAGATCAGGGATGCTGCTAACCATCCACCAGTGCACAAGAAAACTCCATCAACAACGAATTATCCTTCCCAAAGTGTCAGTAGGGCTGAGGCTGAGGAACCCTTCTCCTGAGCCCATCCAGAAGATTGTTTCATGGCTGGACTGCCAGACGATCGGACAAATCAGTCTCGGAAGAAGTACAGTAAGAATACTCCTTAGCAGTGAGGATGGTGTACTTTAGACGTGTTTTCAGAAGGGACCAGTCCCTAGAGAAGGACATCAGGCTTGGTGAAATAGAAAAAGAAATGAAAAAGAGGAAGACCTGTAGTGGGATGGACTGACACAGTGGCAACAACAACAGGCTCAAGCATCGCAAGGATTGTGAGGATGGTGCAGGACTGGGCAGTGTTTCGTTCTGTTGAACATAGCGTCACTGTGAGTCAGAATTACTTGATGGCACCTAACAACAAATAACACCTAAGAGCTTTTTTGTTACTCAACAGGATGAAATGTTGCCAGATTTTTAAGTGATCTGTCACTTTCTCCAGTATTCTTTGCCAACACCACAATTTAAAGGTATCAGTTCTTCTTTGGTCTTCCTTATTCTTGTCTAGTTTCACATGCATATGAGATAATTGAAAATACCATGGCTTGAGTTAGGTGCACCTTAGTCTTCAGAGTGACATCTTTGCTTCTTAATCCAGTAAAGAGGTCTTTTGCAGCAGATTTGCCCAGTGCAACATGAAGTCTAATGTCTTGATTGTGGTTTCTATGGCTATTGATTATGGATCCAAGTTAAATGAAATCTTTGACAACTTCAATCTTTTCTCCCTTTATCGTGATGTTGTTTACTGGTCCAGTTGTGAGGATTTTTGTTTTCTTTATGTTGAAGTACAATCTGTACTGAAGACTCTAGTCTTTGATCTTCATCAGTAAGTACTTTAAGTCATCTTCACTTTCAGTAATCAAGGTTCATCTACATATCATGGGTTGTTAATAAATATTCTTACTGCCAAGAAGAATATTTGATGCCTTTGAATTGTGGTATTGGCGAAGAATACTGAATATACCGTTGACTGCTGGAAGAATTAACAAATCTCTCCTTGAAGAAGTACAACTGGAATGCTCCTTGGAAGAGAGAATGACTGGACTTCATCTTACCTACTTTGATCATGTTATTAGAAGGGACCAGTCCCTGGACAAGGATATCATGCTTGGTAAAGTGGAGGGTCAGTGAAAAAGGGAAAGACTGTCAAAGAAATGGGTTGATACAGTGGCTGCAGCAATGGGCTGAAGCACAGCAAAGATTGTGAAGATGGAGCAGGGCCAGGTAGTGTTTTGTTCTTCTGTACATAGGGTCACTACGAGTCAGAATCAACTCGAAGGCACCTGACAACAACAACAACGACCACTTTCTGTGATGAGGCATGGGAGATTCAGTGGTGGAATTCCCACCTTCCATGCAGGAGACCTGGATTCGAGTTCTGGCCAGTGCACCTTATGCACAGCCACCATCCATCTGTCAGTGAAACCTTGTGTGTTTCAATGGTGCTGAACAGGTGTCAGTGGAGTTTCCAGATGAAGGTGATCTAGGAAGAAAGGGCTAGTGGTCCACTTCTTACAATCAGCCAGTGATGACTGTCTGAATCACAATGATCTAGTCTGCAGTCAAGCATGGAGATGGGGTAGGGCCAGGCTACATTTCATTCCATTGTGCATGGGGTCACCATAAGTCGGGTGTTGACTCGACAGTACCTAAGAACAATCACCAACCACTTTCTGTGATGTTGCATGACATAGTGATAGAAATAGTAGACCTGGAAAGAAGTTGAGAGTACAGACATCCTTCTTCCCACTTCTGCCACCCTTCCTACTCCTTCTGAGTGACTAGGGTAGAAGGGCCTGTCTGACACTTTGCCCACCACATAATTGATATGCTGCTTCACTGATGTTTGTCTCCAGGTTCACTGCTCTGCTTATCTCTTGTGAACCCCCAGATCTTCTGTCTGAATTTGACGAGAATCAGCCATGGCTGTTATGTAAGGGTTCCCTGTGTAGGAGCTTGGGTTAAATGGCTCCTGAGGCCTCCAGATTGTGAGATCACACACTTTCAAGTTCAGTCAGGTGGTTTTATCTTTGTTTCCTTTCTTGATCCCCGCTTTTTCTTCTTTTGTCTTCAATAGCCATGAGTCTGAATCAATTCAGTGGCAACTGGTTTGGTTTTATGGTTTGGTCCCTTTAGAATATCAGAAATTATTCATTGTTCTGTTTCCATGGTCTGTAGACATTTGAAGCCTATAGACATTTAACTAAGCTTCATTAAGCATGTCTCTTACATGCATGGATTCTAGACCCACTGTTGTGCCTCATGTCATGCAGCCTTGCTCTTCCTAAGCATGGCTTGTGAAGAATATGCAACTGTTGTTAGTTTGGAATCAAACCTGATCCTATAGCCTTCTTGCCAAACTCTCTTGGGCTTGATATTTGCAGCATACTCATTCTTCAAATATGACTGTTACTACTCATGTTAGTATAATTGGAAAATGTGGCCAAGTGCCATCGATTTTAGCATTGCTTGCTTGCACTTTTCAATCCCAGAATGAATACTGGATTGGAAAAACTAAAAGAAGCTTCAGAATCAGTTGCAGCCCTGAGCAAAGAACTAGAAGTGAAAGAAAAGGAGCTACAAGTGGCCAATGAAAAAGCCGACACGGTGAGTGGACCTTGACACGTATGCCATATTCGTTTTGAATTCCCAGTTCTTAAATGTTAATGATACATGCATAGCTACTAATGTATAACCAGACAAGTATATGCTTTGTGTTTCTTTGAAGATTTACATTAGAATAAAGTACTCTTACTTTTATATATGAGGAATTGGGTAAGTGGATAGAGTCATTAAGTCAAGGCAAAAATGAACCTTTTCAGCTGGGTCTTTGGCAACTTGTACGGAGCATTTGTTTGTTTGTTTTTTATGATTTAGGTATTAAAAGAAGTGACAATGAAAGCCCAGGCTGCTGAAAAGGTCAAGGCTGAGGTCCAGAAGGTGAAGGACAAAGCCCAGGCTATTGTAGACAGCATCTCTAAAGATAAGGCCATTGCTGAAGAAAAACTGGAAGCAGCAAAACCAGCTTTAGAAGAAGCAGAGGCAGCATTGCAGGTAAGACTCTGTGATATAACAGATGTCAACTTTAGTCTGGGAAGACTAAGGCAGAAAGATTCATAACAGCAAGGAAATGTTCTCCTGGTTCAGGCCAAAGCTCTAAGCTCTAGCTACTGAAATGATTTCAAGTAATGTTTTCTCCTTGGAAACTTTCTTAGCTCTTTATAGGTTTTGCATATGCTACTTGTCATCTCTGACATCTCTTAGGAGCTCTGGTAGCATAGTGCCTAAGGCACTTGACTGCTCACCAGAAGGCTGGCGGTTCAAACCCACCAGCCACTCCTCGGAAGGAAGGTTGGGCAATCCTACTTCTGTAGTGATACTGCCTCGGAAACCCAAGGAGGGGTCGCTATGAGTCAGGGCCGATTCAACGGCAAAACAACAACAACAACAACAACTTGTCATCTCATTTTTTGCATTGGTACATGATGGACATAGTTCCGGATTCCCCTTTCAACTCTGTCCACAATAAGCTGTGGGGTCTTGTCATAGGAACAACGTCCTTACCCCCTGTCACATAAAGCCAATGATCATTACAGGTTGAAGCAGGAAAACAAAAGGATGTATTGAGTATTGATACCTAAGGAGACAGAGAGAATCACTTCTGTATAATGTCTGTCTTCCCCACGCAAAGGGATAAGTATGATTAACACCACCAGAGCTTCCACAGGGAAATAGGAAAGGGCCAAAGGTCCTCTGAACTGCCAGGAATGTCCTTCTTCTCCTTTTTCCATGGTTACTCCTTCTTTCTTGGGTCGTTTGTTCAAATCATTCCATTTGTGGTATATTCCTGTCAGAGCAGCACTAGGGAACCAGAACAGATATATATGACTTTGTACTCTTTTGAGGCAATGAAGATACTGTATTCACTCTTTTCACTCCTCCTTTTTATGCTGCTCTTATATATTGGCATATTTTTCCTCATTCTTTTTCTGTTTTTTTTTTTTTGTTGTTGTTGTTGTTATTGCTAGCTAATCTGGCCCAGAATCCTTTACATCTTCCAGAGTTTTCAGTCTCCAGTTTCTGAGACTTGTGGGCAACTCCCCCCTTTTTGTCTCTGGCTTCCCTGAGAGTTTCAGATCAACATAGTGAACACATGATAGTGCAAAAAACTTAGAAAACATTGACTTCATGATTCCTACTGGCATCATGGGAACAGAGTGTTTGGCCTCTGAGGTCTTATTTAAATGGCTAACACTTTCCCAAGATTTAAAACACTTGGCATCTTTTTTGATATTATGTTTTCTAGTATCCTCCCAATCCAGTGTTCTCTACTACCAAAATACCCTATGTCCTATGATACTCAGCACAGAAATCATCAGAGCAGGGGTGAGGTGATGAGGTGTGTAGGAGAGTTTTTAATAATGTGCATTATTGGTCTTGCCTGCCATTTATTGCCTCTCTGTGAGCTTTAGAAATATAGTTCTACCAAGTTATACTAAGAAAGTCCCAGGTACATCCAAAGTCTCATGTGTTGGCATCAGGTTATGTGCATCTATGTATTATATGAGGCAACAGCAAAGAATTGTTCTCTTCTTCCCTCAATGCTAATCTGGCTTTAACCATCTCTGGGTGAAAATACAAAATGTCTCCAGATGTTCAATAGCTGGTATATTTCCATGGTGTGTAGGAGATTAAATAATGCTCATGTTACTTTGCTGCAGAGATGAGTGGTTTCAATACTTAGCTCAAACAGATTGAAGACATAGCCTTTTATCCCCACCTCCTTCTACCTGGTATGTAACATAGCAGAGCCCAATTCTGTTTGAAAATTCTTTATTTAAAGCTCAAGCAAAATAAGCACCATCAGCTTTCTCAGGTTATATAACTTTAATTTGACCTAACTTTTCCCACTGGCTGCTGTTATATTTCTCTCTTTCCTTTTATAGCCACACATCTCAAATAAAGGTCTATATGCCATTTCCAGTCGTTTACCACAAACTCTCCTGAACATCCTTCAGTCTGGCTTTCACAAATGCTTGTCTGGTGAAATAAAACTTCAGGGTATCTAATTACATCCTAATGATGACAGTCAGTGTTTTTTTCTCTTTCAGTCCTCAAAGAAAAGATGGTTAGCTTTGATGAAAAGGTCATTAGTTGTGTTCTTTTGATAGGGAGGATGCAAATGCAAACACAATGGGAGGTTTTCAAGGATGAGAAGGAATAGATGGATACTGTTCTTTCTAGAAATAGGACTGTGTCATATTCTTCTATTTAGTCATAGAGAGTTTAAGAGAGCATGCAAATGGGAAAGAAATATTATCTATACTGGCAGTGGAATGGAACTTTTCTAAGCAGGGCTTAACACTGGTTCATTCCAGTTGGACCCCCTGCTGAGAATTTGCACTTTGACCACAGATATTCTGAATCAGAATCTACATTTTAACAAGATCTTATGTATGCACAAGAATTACCTGGGGAGCTGTAAGAATCACCTAGGATCTTTTAAAAATGTGGCTTCTGATTGAGTGTAATTTCTGTTGCTCAAGTTCTTCTATTAAAATGTCAGTTCTCAGATTTCCTCTGGCCATCCGCTCTGTCAGCCCTGCACCTCCCGGCTAGTGTCGGTCATAGTTGTTTAA